CGATATGTGTGTATATAAATGTATGATTATATAATATAACTGTAGATGAATTAAAGTTTATTATTAATGTATTGTAGGTTTTGATGACTAATTTTTGATCGATTAAAGTTGGTAAAATTATTATGAAATATCAATTGATTATTATCGGTGAGGGCGCTTACTGTTTGCGGCTGAACACTAAACCGAGCCTTTCTCTTGGACCAATGCATCTTCATCGCCGTTCTCACCTAAACAGTATTAATAAAATGAATTTATGACAATTAGAACACGCTTAGTGTAAAAAATAGGCTCCCAACGGGAGCGTGTGTTTATGTCCTATACTGCCTTACTGTGTTATGTTTACTAATAAAGTATCCACAAGGGATTCGGTTATCAGGAAATGTGTGGTGTTGTAGCTTTTTATGACTTTTGTACAGTAATAAAGTATTTAAAATGACACATGACCCACCATGCACCTTCATCAGATTTTACCATTCGGCCACCTTTAACAGCCAGATGACAACATAGTGTCTTTGCCCCTGAGGGGCATAGACACATATAACCAATAAAAGATTGTTATTATCATAGAGCATTTACATTATACAATATATAAATGCATTACTGTTACTTATTATTTCTTATATATTTCTGTTTCTCTTTTTTTATTTCGAATTTTAAATTTTGTCTGGGAACCTGAGAACCGTGACAGATTTAGCAGCTTTAGTGAGGCACTAGTCCCAACATGTAAAGTCTGATTCCATATAATCGCTACATGCTATCTCCGACAGCTTTCAGTGACTCTGATTGGTCGGTCGAATCGGCAAACTTTTCCGATTGAGATTTAGTGAAACGATTGCAAGGAAAACACTAGCTACAGTGTAGCGTCTTTATGGAAATTTATAATACACAATGTCCTTTATTCCGCCTAAATCTCATGTGAAGGTTACTCAAGCAGCCTAGCGATCAGACACCAAAGAAGCAAGAACATTTATCTCTCGGCCACTCGCTGTAAGAAACATTGCAGTCGTTTTCTCGACAAAACAAGGAAATAAAATTGTAATAGCTTTAACCAGCAAACTCAAAACATTGCAAAATATTAAGAACCGTGTGGTAATGGTATGTCTGAAAATAACGTTAACTAATAGTTGTAGCAAAGTATTTTTATGTTATTTAGTCAATAAAATATTACTTTTAAAAATATTTATGGTTGTAAGAAAAGTTTAAAAACCAAACTGCAACGTTAATATAACATAAAATAGTTAAATGTGCAAAATGTAATAAGATTGTTGACGAACCTCATTACTAAACAGGCAGTGCGTGAAAAAGAGAAACACTCCTTGTGGAGCATTGCAGGCGGTAAAAATAGTTCCAATGGAAACACTCGAATTTCGAGCAAACAAACCGAATAGCCATGGTAACCCAAGAAGAGGTGACAGCATAATCACACCTTTCAAAGACGATCTAAAAAATAATTAATTTCCGACTTAAAAACAGAATAATATTTTGTATTATTAAATAGATAATTGTAATTTTCTTCATGAATAATATTAAAACAGTGAAGATGATAACACTAATACTAAAAAATGGAAATGATAATTTACCTTGCATCTTTCCATCTGTTGTTGTTGTCGGTTTTCAAGTAAATTATTCGCCAAACGAATATCGATACAACAGTATTTACCTTAAAAATATTTAAATATTTGGTAACTTTAATGTTTATATATCACAAAAAAAAATATCGTTTAATTTATATGCGAGTTTAAATAATGAAGTAAATTTAATTTATTGGATAGGGCCTAGATATTTATTTTTTAATTAAAAATATAACAAAACTAAAACAACAGTGATAATACGCAGGCTGTATATGGTGAGCAAAACTGCAGTTTACCCACAAGGAAAATTTATGAAATCGCATGTCGTATTGAGGCACATTATTTTCTTGAGAGCTGCAGCATACCCTCAAGAAAATAACTGATTCGCCCGTCTTATTTAGGCACATTATTTTCTTGAATGCTGCATGAATACGAGGGGCAATTCCATAATTTTCTTATTATGTTCAAGGGTAAACAATTGAATTTCCGTAACCTTAACATTTTCCTTCGAAATTTTCTTCAGAAATTGAATGGTGTTTTTTTTTTTCGATTATTATGTACCATTCCACTAAATTTTAAGAGGATCCTTCATTAGATTTTGCGTAATCTTGCAGAGAGATGGACAAACAGCGATGAAAACAGTCTGCTTTTTCGGAGGAAATAATAAGTAATATTAAAACAACAATGATTTTATAGCAAATCTTACCAGTACTGCAATATACGCAGGGACAATGAATGCATACAAAAGTGGGCTCTTGACGTCTATCCAGCATCTGAAATTCAAAATGATTGTACTAATGAATATATAAATAACAACAGCAACTTCAACATAACAATACTAGGAAATTAAATAAAAGAGATCATCAAAAGCTGGATATGGCCTAGTTATAGCTAGCAGTCCTGCACAAACTATTCTGCATTAACTTTTATAAGTCATATTTCACGGGAAGTGTTCATATTCACTTACATGTAATGATTTTGATCGTTGATAATGCCATAGCCTTCGATATTACAAGTGACTGCAATCGCCACAATTAAAATAGGCACTCCCCAACCTATCATCATGTATGCACGTATGCTCAAAAGATCCGAGTTGAAAACACGAACTATCTTTAGGTACAAGTTTAAACCTTCGATAGTCATCCACGTAAAAACTGAGAGATACAAGTAATGGAGAACAATGGCGACAAAAGTACACACTCCCTGTATTGAGAACGAAAATATCATTAGGCCAAAACTATTGTGCTGCCTAAGCACAGAGCACAAATCATTGTGGCTCGGTTGGAAGTTATTATTTTTTTACTACAGGCCTGAGCGTAACTGAAATAATTGCTGACCATAGCACTCCATAAATTTTGGTATGGTAAAATGGTAACCATTGGTTACAATCTATAAATGGGTGGCTCTCATGTATTAATGAGAATCTCCTTGTCCAGTACTGTCCTGGTCATATATTTTGTTAAAATTATAGAATATGGTTTGAAACAGTCTTGAAAATGGAATTTTTGAACATCAATTAAGTATTTTCAGCTCATCCTTGGTGTAAAAAAATGGCCCTTAGTTTTTAAAATGTAGTGTTAGCCGAAATTCGACCTCATTATAAGCCTTTTAATATTAACTTTCTCCTATAACAACTTTAAAATAAGTTTATTTTTTAACATTCCCTATTATTTTTTAAATTATCTTTCTTCATTATCCCACCTTACTCGATATGTTCTCCACGGCAGTCAAAAATAGCAGCTGAGCAAGGAACAGTGCTACCACTAAATTTTTGTGGATGTGATTTTTCTCCGAATTCCTCAGAGCCCTTTAAAAAAAAACCAACAAGTTAAAAAACGAATATAGGCCTATATTAGAAAAGCAAACGAACTCATTGTTCATTAGTTATTTCTTTTATATAGAATGACAGGTACGTAACCCGGCAATTTTGGACTAAAAAATGCTGTATATTAATATATTTTGTTGGGGCTTTGATCTCGTTTCTATAACGTCGACGCTGATTGGTTGGACGAACAGGGGATGTTTACAACGCGCTGAATATTATAATAGGCAACGCAATTTTAGCGATTTCAATGAAAACACTCTAGCGAAAATTTAGCAATTTTATGAAAACTAGACTTCAGGAGCATGAGTTGATTTTATTTGTCGGAAAAATATTTGATAACACAAAATTTGAATATTTTTTTTTAAATTGAAAGGCAACCGTAATATCCACCAACCTACAATCCAAATATTATTATTATTATTATTATTATTATTATTATTTATAATTACAGTATTTATTAGTTATTTATTTATGCAACGTTATAGTTTTATTTCCAGCTAGCGAAAAAAAATGCAAGCAGGTACCAAATTAGCCATCATCAGTTTAAACACGTTGTGAACGGTTTCTAAAAGATTCACCAAAAGCACTTACTCAAATGACACGTAGACCAACAACATCATAAGCAAGCAACAAACAGAACAACAACAAAGGATTGTAGTCAACATCGATATTGCCCTATTCGTAGTTGAAATCACATCATTTCCTACTAGTAAAGCGTAGCTCGTAGTGTGATCACAGACACATTTCGTCGAGTTGAGTGAATCTTGTTCGTGCACAGTTTGGCAACCGGTCTCAGACCACACCCTGTTTAAAGCAAGACTTCTTTAAACGTAGTTTTTGAATCATTTAAGAAATTTAACCATAATCATCCCTTTTATCTAATTTAACCGATTTATTCGTTTAAGTTGAAAGTAGATTTTTAAATAATGTAGCTAACGTGGGTTTATTGTAGTTGCTAATAAAACCCAAATTTGTACAATCCGCAATCTATCCTTCCGTTGTAATTGTTAAGACTTACTTATCCAATTCATGCCAAAATGTACATCGCGTTAGATGTCCACCAAAACGTATATCTTCCATTACATTCTGTAAAAATGAAAGAAGAAACACACAGACCTAAAGTTCATACTTTTTCGAAAATGAAGAAACTAGAATAAATAGAATTTTTTGAAATTGTTCCAGGTAAGAACAGACCAGGCAAGGACATACCGGACAAAGAAAAACATTTTAAAACACATTTTAATTTCTACTGAAACGCTCTATTCTTAGTATGTCTGGCGAGTTCACTAAGCTATAGGCCTAGGCCTACAACTGATACAACATCATACACCGTGGACTATCTACTGATCTTAAATTTAAGGCAAATAAAACACCCCAGTTTAAAAGAAATTAAATAATTTAGAAATAGCAAAATTATATAACAAATAATTCTTATTGCTCTCCCATACATCAAGGGAACATCCGAAGCCCTAAATAAAATTTACAAAAGAAGCGGAGTAACAGTTTACTATATAAACCTTTCAATACTCTGCGGACACAATTGGTCAAACCCAAGGACGCAACCCCAGTTAAAAACAGAGCGGGGTCGTATACGAAATTGAATGTGATACGTGCGGAAAAACGAACATCGGAGAAACTGCAAGATCATCAGACAACATACGTGCCAAGGAACATTTAAATCAACGTGTTGAAATACTTTCAGCGGTAGCAGAACACTGTAAAATCACGTGGACATAACATTAATTGGAATAAAATCAAAATACTAACTAAAGAAACTAATTCATTCAAAAGGAAAATAAAAGAACCTATAGAAATTAAAATGGGAACGCCACCATTAAACCGAGATTGCGGATATGAGCTACCACCCATATACAATAGCCTGCTACGTCATCACACGAACATCAACGCTGACGTGTCAGTTAACCGCCAGATTCAAACGGCTGACGAAGATGACGGGATGTCATAGAAAGCTCCCAGAAATTAAACTACAACTCTGAAATGTAACTTACACTCTTTTTCTTATTATCATAACAGAGTTAGAGAATAACTTCCATGCGATAACAAATAATTAATTTAGGACCCACCTCCAAATGCTGAATGGTGAAATTTACAGGTATCGGTATCTTCTGAAGAGATGAGTTGTAGAGGGTGATAGTCAGAATTCCAGATGAAAAAACGAGACTGTCTTCTTTCTCATTAGCTGTTGATGTCCTAAAAACAATTCGCAATAATATCAACTGAAACTTTTTCAACAAGACATACTATTGCGCCATGCAGAATTGATTTGAGAGCCAACAATAAACTTGCAAAAAAGTCATATCTCACAATAATTTTCATTTTAAAATGATATTTTTTTAATGCAGAGCAAGTTATTTTGGACAAAATATTACATGTTTTAAAATTTTTTTTTGTACTTTTGGTTTATGCATGCATATTCAGAACTTGTACTTTTAATATTCCAAATAGTTTGCTTTCATCACACCTAGGCTTAGCGCCTTTGATCATTGATTTAAAATTGGCGATATATACATTTTTTTTTGGCATTATTATTAATAGCAATCAAATGATTTTAAGCCCGCAGAGGGTGATATAATGCTTACTTGGCTTACTCTAATATTATAAGTGTATGCCTAATAAAATAGTGATATTTCACATTAGTTTTATGTAAGTAAGTAGTAAGTAACTTTATTGCTTCTCTTTTATAACAGAGGCACAACCGTAAAGATGTGCAAGAATAATAAAATCAGTAAAAATTTAATTAATATGATTAAATATAAATATACTAATATGTAACTATTTTAAGAATAAAACTATTTTATTAATTGTAAATTTTTACTCAGAAATAATGGGCATTGGTGTGAGCCCTTTACGCGCTCTTTAATTTTAGAGTAAATTTCACTATTTTGCATATGAATAATAATAAAATAATGCTCTGTAAGACTACATACGCAATATCAGTGGCTCCACCAAATAGTGAAAGGTCTTGGTATATGATGACGAGAACAGTAAAGTCATCTAAAATTTCCCAAAAAGTTACGTTATGAAAATGTTACAGTTGATGCAGAATCAGACGTCATATATCTAAGTCAAATAATGATGTTGGTTTGACCGATAATAATAATTGATACCACAATTAGTGAAATTTGTCAAATAGCAATAAGAAGCTATAAAAGAATAAGAAATTATACCAAAATATGAGATGAAAATTTTAATTGTATTCATTTATATTGTAAATAAGTGAGCAACACAATGTCCACCTTCAGAATGATAAAGTTAATCTAATAATGGACCTTTCCAGAGTGTCAAAAAAAACTTAACAACTGACCAATCAGAACAGGGCTAGGAATACGCGGGTGTCTAACAGACAAGCCAACGTGTTGTCCCACAAGCACACGTTGCATGGGATCAGACAAAAATACATAGCCGGGCTGGATTTAGAGGAAAAGTCCATTCTTTCATCCTTTTATGTCAATGTAAATACATGGACTAATGAAGGCCCTGTCATTGAATAATATTGCATTTAGTTTTTATATGTAAAATATGCTTACTGTCAACCTCGTCTGTATATTCATTTTATTGCCTGGTACAACTATGACACTGTAATTCAACAAATATAAAATCATCTCCTATATTATTCTAAATATATAGTTGCTAAAATTTACGTTATTTTAAAAATATGCGGAATTACCACTGACCACTTGGAGACGTAAAAAAGAAAGACACGCTACATCCTCCATTATTTTCTCCACCGTGGACGTCCAATTCAATCTCGATAGTAGTCGATGATAACTTCTGTACATTTACAGCTAAAACCGGGATTATTAAAACGTGGTTTATACTTCAACAAAACGTATACACAACATTATTACAGTATACGTCATTATCAATAGTATTCATACTAATTATACATATTTTAGGTTTATTACAATACATTATTATGCGTATATTGGAAATAACTCATTTCAATTATTTTCTCCTGACTTCTAATGACGTACATTGATGATCAGAGGTAAGATCAATTCCAATATTTTCAGACAGATATGAGCCCACTTGTTTGAATAAGAATTCGTTCATTGATACAATCTTAAACTTGTCTTCTGCCGTCTGAAACATATCAAAATAATTTAAATTAAAATAACAGAAAATATATTTTATTTGAATTATTAGGAGATATCTTTATACTCAATTATTTAATATTATTTTTTTAATGTGAAAACACAATAGCTGATAATGACTAAACTTAGGCGAAGAAATAAATTATTATTTTTGTACGATATGTCTTAATATTTCTATTACATGAACAGGACACTTATATTACACACAGACCTATCTAGAAAAAGAAAGTGTATGTACAGTCTTGGATATAGGCCTATACAGACCATTACTTATGTGTACTGATTATGTCTAAATAAGATAGAATGATTGTTACTCCCAATAATGAGATGGACGCCGTGATTCGACGTTTTGACTTGCATTGGGTCATAATAAATTTGTATTGAATATGTATTCGCCACACACATTGTCGAATTGTGTAAGCCCACTGTTACAGTGTTACAGACTAAAACAGCTGTTTTGTACAGCTAGATAGCCTAGACTTGCAAAATTCTCAGCATACTCTAGTCATTTTAGCCCAGCTATACAATTGTTGTGTATATTTACAAAAAATCATTGGTTAATTAAACACGATGGAACCATGGTATAATTTAAAGAAATAAATTAAACAATAGCATTTTGTGGTTGATTTTCAATGTCAGAAATCACTCGATTTTAGCTATAATGCACTTGTCAATTGTAGTCTCCCACACCCCACCCCTGGACCTAGCGGGGACTTAGCCGGGTTACGAAATGTGAACGTCCCGGCCACCTCCCAGCAATGCGGGGCATCGTTTTAACGTACATCCCCGGCTAAAGTCCCCCCAAATACCGTCGGAAATATTTCGTAGCCCCGGTAAAATGCCCCGCTAAATAAATTATTGGATGAAAGTGCCTACATTTGCAAACATACAGAGACAAAAACAATCTGAAGATCTAGCCCATCGGTCTAGCACAGCGTTCCGCAAACGTTTAACTTCACGACGTATTTACGATTCCAGGCACCAAGCTGCGGCCTAGCAGCCCAGCCTCGCCAGGGACCAACATACTAAATCTTGGCAAACTTTTGATCATGAAGCCTCCATGTATGTATATACAATATTTTGACATCATTATCTGTTATCTCAATAACAAAATTTCATAGTATACAAATTAAATAGTATTTTAATTTTTTATATATAGTTTGTGGAACGTCGTTCTAGAGGATAGATAGAAAATAGAAATCACGGCCTGGAATGAGGGTATGAAATGAATACCAGCCTACCTTGACGGAATCCGATGAAATTAGCAATAATGATACATTCAGAATCTCCTAAGAATCAATTAGTGAAAGCATTCTTCACAAAGCTTAAAATAAACTTCATAAAATTTATATTTAAAAAAATTACTTTAAAA